TGGTGGGGGTGGGGATGATGATGGCGGTGGTGGTGGTGATGATGATGATGGTGATGGTGATGGTGGTGATGATGATGATGGTGGTGGTGATGATGGTGGTGGTAGTGAAGATGATGATGATGGTGGTGGTGATGATGATGATGATGGCGGTGATGATGATGGTGGGGGTGGTGATGATGGTGATTTTTATGAAAATTATGATTTTGATTAGGATGAAGAGGATAATAGTGGTGATGATGATGATGACGGTGATGATGGTGAAGATGATAATGATGATGATGATGATGATGGTTGTGGTGATGATGATGGTGGTGGTGGTGATGATGGTGGTGATGGTGGTTATGATGATGATGGTGGTGGTGATGGTGACGATGATGGTGGTGATGGTGGTGGTGGTGGTGGTGATGATGATGGTGATGATGATGATGGTGGTGGTGATGATGTTGATGGTGGTGGTGGTGATGATAATGGCGGTAGTGATGATGGTGGTGGTGGTGGTGATGATGATGATGATGATGGTGGTGGTGATGATGATGATGGTGGTGATGGTGGTGGTGGTGGTGGTGATGATGATGGTGGTGGTGGTGATGATGATGGTGGTGGTGATAATGATGATGGTGGTGGTGATGATAATACAAAATACATAATACAAATAAGTGAGATCGGGGATACAGAAAATAATACAAAAGGATGAGCTGCATGTGGGGTTGAGAAGAAGATGAGGAAAGAGGTTTGCGCATTTATTAAAAAGGCAGGAGATGTGCAAAAGTGAGAGAGCACAATATAATACATCAAATTACATACTTGAGTCAGCGAGTAGAAAATGCCTATTGGCCTATGGAAATATGAACAGCTCCATGTTGAAAAAAAAATTCCCTTTGCCAAATCAGCTACTAAGAAAATGTAATGCAATCATATTGAAACAGATATTATAAAAAAAGGGAAAAGAGCCTATTATTTTTTTTTCTTTAAATGTTTTATTGAACAATCAAAAAACGATCACAATATTTACAAGTTATTATAAAAAGATTACAAAAAAGCATTAAAACGTAGAACAAAACCTCACGAAAAGTAAGTTTACACTGCATGCAATTACATGCACATGTACCCAGGCGCGTACGCAGGGGGGGGGGGGTGTTTTGGGGGTTAACCCCCCCCCCTTTGACATTTTTTATGTGTGTATTTTTAAGAAAACCCCCCTAAAACCCCCCTTTGTTTTGTTTAAAACCCCCCCCCCCTTGAAAAAATCCTGCGTACGCCCCTGCATGTACCGATACAACATTAGAAAAACAGCATTATAAAACAAAACTTCCATTTTTTAAAGTGCAAGGGCAGTTTTTTTTTCTTTGTTGCAATACGATATTCAAGATCTTTATTATATTCAATGTTAGTTCTGAAACCCTGAAAATTGGGTATTTTACTTTGAAATTTGCATAAATAAATGTAGTATTTAAGCATAAGAAATAAATATGTCAAAAACATATCCTTTTCATAGCCAAACATTCTTTCAAATATTGAAAAATTCACTACTTTATTAATCTTCTGATTAATAGTTTTAATGGTATCATCCCATATGGGTTTTACAATCTGACATTTGATGAAAAGATGTAGGTAAGTCTCGGGTTCATTATCGCAAAATGAACAATTAGGAAAATTCTTTCGTTTAATTTTGAACAAGAAGTTATTTAATGCTATGGCTTTATGAAATAGTTTGAAAGTTTTGCTAACTTCCAATATTACCGTATCCATATATGACTGTATAAATAGACAGTTTCTGCACTTACATATGTAGTATTGATTTCTTAATGCGTATGTTGTTATTATTATGTTCTTATTTAATGTACTTTCTCTATCAATGTGTCCTATCACATCCTTCTCACTATGACTGTATAAACAGACAGTTTTCTGCATTTTGATATGTTTTATTGATTTCTTAATGCATATGTTGTTATTATTAAGTTCTTATTTAATGTACTTCCTCTATCAATGTGTTCTATCACATTCTTCTCACTTTGTTTACTATGTATTTTAAATTTGTCTATAAATCGATAATAATGTCTCCCAATTTGGATAACTTTCAATCATCAATAATAATTTTCCATAATTTGGATAACTTCAAATCAAATCAACTCAAATTCATAATGTTATACAGTTTTGCTAACTTCCAATATTACCGTATCCACATGACTGTATAAACAGACAATTTTCTGCATTTATCATACATGCATAGTTTGAACAGCTCTTTTTCGAATCCTTCTTTAAAATAATCCTAACAGTATTTGATCTACATGTATATTACCGTTAGTTTTAGTTACACATTCATTGATAAATTATGTTGACCTTATCTTTATATTTTGTTTTATGTATGCACCAGCCAATGTGGAGAGCCTCTCGACAGAATTTTTAAAATTCTTTTAGGTGATCCTCAGGCATTGGCTGGTGCTAAATATCATTATGTTTACAGTATGTTCTATCATTTGTTAACCTTGTGATGTTTTGTATGTTATCATCTTGCCTGGAAATGAAATAAATAAATAAATAAATAAATAAATAAATAAATAAAATGAACGAATGCGAGTGCTTATAGAACATTTGAAATTATCAATATGAATCTTGTCCCAATTTTTTAACAGGGTTAGGGTCAGAAAGTTCTTTCCAGAATGTTAATTTCTTTTCGGGAACATGTGGCTCTAGAATGACATTATAAGCATATTTGGGAACCTTCCTAGCTTGCACAAGTGTATTGATAAAGGCATCAAACATGATTCAGGTCTGATAAGACCAACCAACCAGAAGAACATTTTTCATAAGAAAATTGTATTTCCTCCTATCCCTAGAATTAATATCGTAATCAAGTATCAATTCTTCAAAAAGTTTGCTACCAGGTTGAGGAGGATTAAGCAAATCACTAATAAAAAATTCCCTTTATCAATCCAATCCTGATACAAAAAATAATTCTTGGATTTTAAACTAATATTCTTATTAAACCAAATACATTGACAAGATCCAATTGAAGAATAGGGCCTCTTATGAAATACAATCGCAAATCTTTTATAAGATAGGACCCGGAACACATTGACTGTATCTTACACTATATTTATTCACTGTATAATAAATTCTCCAAATCTCACTTTAAATATTCTTCGATATTGATCGATTGATTGATTGATCCATTTTTGTTCAAAGTCAGTAATAACAAAAACAGGTTATAAACATTTACAATGTACATATAAACAACAACTTAAATTTGTGAAACAAAGAATAACATTTAAATACAAGTTGTTGGAAAATAAAATAAGGTGTATCAGTAAAAGCCTATGTGGCTTAATAAGTTGACCCATTACAAAGAATGAAAAACATATAAATTCCAGGTAGCTGACGGTTACATACTAAATTGCATTTAACTTAAAGGGATAGTTGAGTTCTTGTTTAAGACCTCAAATGCCTGCAAAGTGCATGGCTATATTGCTTTTATTCTTATTTATGACATTTCTATTGCCCTTTTAGAACCTAAAACTGCTATGAAGGTAATTTTAGACCCCCACATTTGTGAATTTAGATTGAATACGATAATACCGATTCAGCTCCGCTTTGAAAAAATAAAGTGACCGTTAATCAATTAATTAATTGATAATAACAATACACGGGCCGGCTGGTTATGCATAGTATAAAATTGACAAAAGACTTAACTCCGTTTCGTTGACAATCAGCAATGCATGAAGTCTTTCGTCTTCGGCTGATTGTCAACGAAACGGAGTTAAGTCTTTTGTTAATTCCGTTTTTTGCTACAGCAGGCACCCAGTGAAAACGAATTCGTTTGATAAAATTATGGAAATGCAAGCACTACTTTAAACAAACAGAACTTTGTAATTCCTTGCTCATTTTTCCTGATTGAGGGGTCATAATGAAAGGGCAGAAATTCAACTTTCTAGAAATGTGATTTTCTCTTTAAAATTAAGATACCGTCCGCCAAATTACTTTTTGGTTTCCTCTCTTCATATTCATTTTAATCACTCATGCGTACAATATGCATTATACGAGTTGCATCAAAATTAATGAAATAGCATGATCTAAGCTCTACAAACATGTGTCATTTATCAATTATAATTGTGATTAAGTTATGATAAAACATCGATAATTCTCGGATTCGTTTTTTCTGGGACGTTCTGTACAGAAAAAATGCGTAATGCCTCTTTTTAAGACGGTGTATTTTATTTTATTTTGAGGGATAAGGTATAGCCCAGACCGGGCATTATACATCAAAAATAAAATTCGTGAAAAGAATGAAGTGTCTCATGTGACAAAATAAACCAATATTGCGAGAAATTTTCGAACAAATATAATTAATGTGAGGATCCCATTATAAATGTTCTTTCAACACAACATAATTGTTGAGAAATAATCTCTATTTCGGTATTATTTATAAAATAGATATATAATTATAAACGTCCGACTTATTTTGGGGGTTACGGAACACTTCATATCTAGTTTTCAGAACATTCAATGATAATTTATTACATAAAAGCCAAGAATGCACGAATTGTAAATGGACATTTTTTTTCAATAATCAAAAACAGAAAGTCTGTGTGTGAAGCTACAAGAGTAGGATCGTCTGCAAATATTACATAATGAAAGAAAGGTATGCATTTTATTATATCATTAATATAGGGGTTTTTTTAAGGGCCGAGTATCGACCCTTGAGGTACACCACAAGATAAAGAACGATTGTCAGAACAATGTGAGTTGTATACAGTGTATTGTTTTCAATCAGTTAGGTAGCTATTAAACCATGTATATGGTATACCACGAATTCCGTAATATTGCAATAATAAAATTGGATGAGATAATGTACTGGAAGGAAATAGCATTCGCATTATTTGAATAGTTCGCAACAGGTCTAAACAGAGATTACTAGATCAGTAGCCTGAGCACGATTAGATACATGATGCAGTAGTTAACACATATATATATATATATATATATATATATATATATATATATATAGTTAACATTACAAAAAATGACTGCACAATAAACAAAAACATATAGAACCTATCCTGAATTTGCTTTTAAATCGTTACATTTTGTGAACTATTGCCTTAAAATAGTGTGGGGTATCAAACTTGGCTTGTTTTCACGTCCGAACTGTTCATCTTGAATTGTCCCTTGATTCCAGACAATATCAAGGCGATGGATCGGTGGATGGGGTCACACACGAGTCGAAGGGCAGGCTCGTACGCCAGATTGAACACCCGCAACCATACGTAGTATAACTTCATGATTGGTTGGACGAACCAGACGACGGCGAAGTGCATCACCGCGAACGACAAGCCAAACGAGAACGCAATGAACGGGGCAAGGAGCAGGTTCAGGACGGCGTAAAAAGCGAACTGGGTAAGATCAAGAGTGAGGGAAGTTCGGGATTGAGTTTTTATCGCTTATAATTATGATTACTGGATCGATAGTTGAACATAAGAGACAATGGCCAGTATGAGCATACCAACACTGTTTTTAATCCAGGACAGATTTAAATCCTACCAAAGTTTGTAGATTTTTACTGCTTTCAATTTATTTCTGTTACCAACAAAAAATTACAAATCAATTATAATCATTTACAACACCAAAGGAATACATAGGCCTATAGGAAACAGAGGGGTCCAATAAAAAGCAATGCTTGTACAATAAATATTGTGGTCCCCTCAAATGATAGTAAGGAATAATGACTACTTAAAATGAATAAATTTGTAACTACAAAAAGGAACTGGAAATAAAAAAAGGGGTGCCAACAGAGACGAGAACCGGTCACAAAAGAAAAAGTAGACGATGCCAAAAAAGAAGTGAGAGATCGGGGGAACAGAAAGTAATACAAAATAATGATCTGCATGACATGTGGGGTTGAGAAGAAGATGAGGAAGGAGAAATGCGCATTAAAACGAAATATACATAAGAGGGCACAATATATCAAATTACATTTTGAGTCAGCAAGTAGAGAATAACCTTGTTTTAAAAAAAATATTTTAAAACTCCTTTGATTTATGGATCGTCTAGTGTCAAACACTCCACCCAATTAAAAAATATATAATTCCGTTGATACTAAGAAACAATAATTAAGATACCACGAACTCAATAACATTTACTTTATAATTGGGTTAGTTTTGTTTTATTCATTTTATCATAGAAATACGATAATTAATTTCTACAGAAATAAGGATTCAATCCTTTTAAACGGGCACAGATAAATGGGCCCGTACATTATACGCCTACGATTACTTTATCATTAAGAAAATACTCACGTGAGTGTATTTATAGATTGCTCCATTGACCTTTTCCATGAATGAGAATCCCATGATGTCATTGGATTCCTTAAACGTATCTGCAAAGCCGGTCTGAAAAAGGAAGAAAAAAAATATCGAAAACATTCTGGAATTCATCTTTGTGTTATTTTACCATTTATATTGGATGAAATATAAGCCGTAAAATCAAAAATAGCTAGAGGATAACTAAAAGTGTAGATTTCTTCTCCATTATATTTTTAGAACTATATAACAAGCATTTTTTTAAGGTATATGATCATTCATAATATATTTTCACTGTAGCAACATTTCATATTCAAGAGGTTTCTAATCTAGTAACACAGTAAAATAAATACTTTATTCTTGGCAATGGGTTGACATATTATTCGACCTTTTCCCATCATCAACAACTCAAAGAGGATGCGGCTTGCACAATAAATTACTTGGAATCTCTCGTCACTTCTGCCGTCTCATACAAAAGGAAGGAGATGGGCAACAACAACATGGGAGCCTCAGACAAATAACTTTTTAAGAAGGTCCGCGAGCCCAAGATTGTCAGCCTCGTTGCCGGTCTCGAAAGTCTAGGAAAAAAATTTCTGTTGAAGTCTTTTTGTGAATTTGTTGCCCAAAAGAATTTTCCCTAATCTGTATTTAAATCCAAATAGCTACATTCAACATGTCGTCATATTAAAAAGCCCAAGACGCTCGTCGCATCCCATGTTACATATAGATTTGCAGAAGATTTGATTTTGATATGCAAATAATTCAAATTACTCAAGGCTGCTCCCTTTAACTAGGCGTTGTGGCGTGCGCCTGTAATCCAGCTAACAGTGGAAGTTACAAACTGATTTAGGTGAGGACGCAGGTTCGAAACTGAGTCACGTCTTTCGGATGGTGACGTTTAAAGGTCGGTCCCCAGATGTAAATAATTATGATTGATACACGTCTGTAAAAACCCAATACACACACACACGATTATAAATCCCCCCCCCCCCCAAAAAAAAAAAAAAAAAAATCCAAAGAAAGAACTTTTCTAGGTTCATTAAATATGTTAAAGGAGCGGCAAGTGGACGATAACATTCTTGTCTATAGTATACCGTAACATGTGGAGAGAGCCTGTAGACATCTTCGGTATCAGATTGGTCGACACCTTGTATAAGTGGTACTTGCACTGTTCCCGATGGACCGTTTTCTGGATGTATCAGCTCCATAATCTTCTTCGATTGCTTTGCTCCTTCAGATTGGGCATTAAGAAGAAGAAAAAAGGAATCAGGTTATTCTAATGAATATTCGTTATGATACATGTACATCGTAATATTCGCATAATTATTATAAAAATATCCACGTATTTTAATGCTCATGTTGAAGCATTGTTGATGAATATTACAATCTATGTTTTGCCCCGATCCCCAACATTAACAAAATCTTCTATGTGGGCATGCCTTGAACCACAATGCATGGCCCTACAGAGGAATTTTTTCCTGTTGGGGACTGGGGGAACATGCAATGAATTATTGAAAAATTTGCTTTGCATTTTCTTTGTTTTTTGTTTTTGTGGGGGCGTCGATGTACCCTAGCGCCCGCTGCGTATACAGTCATGATTCATTGGCCGAGCAATGGCCTCGTTACTTTGAGCCCCCATGATCAAAACCGTGTCAATGTGCTAGGCTATATTAGTGCCCTTTTATGAGGTATTACTCCCCATTACTGTCAGTTATGACTTAAGGACGTAGGTCCCCTAGTTGATTGGCATAGTAGCACACACATGCTTTAGCAGTCACGCAAAACAAACACTCCCCAATTGTCATTCAATAAAATCTGAGAATGTTTACTATTATCTAGATCTATTAGGAATAAATCATTGTCAAAATCATTAAATAAATTGGGGTAAAAATAATTATTCCACCATTACGTCCAACAGTGTAGTTGGATGCTCATACATTAATTTGCGAGTCTTCCCAATTTATTCCATTGCCCAGATTTTATAATTTTGATCGACTCTTTCGTCTGTACTCTAGTACAGACGAAAGAGTCAATCTAGGTGAACATAATGTTAAGCAAAAAAGGGACCCCTATAATGCCATAAGGGTGCGCTGATAAAAATTCAGATAAGTCCTTTAGACCGTTTTTAGATCTCTCACTGATCGCGGTGATAAGAGACAGAGAGAGAAAGAGAAAGAGAGAGAGAGAGAGAGAGAGAGGAAGAGGGAGAGAGAGAGAGAGAGAGAGAGAGAAATGAGAGAGAGAGAGGGGAAGAGAGAGAGAAAGAGAGAGAGAGGGAGATAGAGAGAGAGAGAAAGAGAGAGAGAGAGAGGGAGAGGGAGATAGAGAGGGAGAGAGAGAGAGAGAGAGAGGAAGAGGGAGATAGAGAGAGAGAGGGAGAGAGGGAGAGGGAGATAGAGAGGGAGAGAGAGAAAGAGGGAGAGAGAGAGGGGGAGAGAGACAGAAGATTGCTCGACTCAGGAAAATGTATAATACCGACTTTTCTACATTCAGATTTTCTCTAGTTCAAAATGTGGGTGCATTTATTTTTCTATCTAATATTCCCTCATATTTTACCTCAAAGATTGTCTTTTGTCATGTTTGTACTTTAAAATAATATTACTTGAAGTCGTCGAATTTTTGAAGATGTATGTAACACAGGCCTATATGTACAACCATGTTTCTTCAGTTGTTATAATGCTGCCATAATACATAGTTATGTTTCTTCTATTATGTTTCTTGAAGGTTTGGTGATTTGTGTTTACAAACCATGTGTATGCTTGTTAGTAACAAGGGGACCGGCGACTTTAGATCCTCTCCGAGGGACTTGGTAATGAGGATAAATGCATGACCAAACGGCATCAGTGCACCGACTTGGTATCGAACCCTGGACCACCCGGTTACGAAAAAGATTCTCTACCACTGTGCCATCGCGCCTCCTTCATAATATGTATGATAATTATGTCACAAAAATTAATGATGTGGAAATTTGAATAAACTAAAATAAAATGAAAACTAGACACTGATATAGGAGACGAGGAATAGACGAACAGGAAAGCAAAGTATGAATATTTAACTTGGAGTATAAAAAAAAAAGGGGGGGATAGAAAGATAAGTACTTACGACGTATACGTGTACCCTAGTACACGTATACGTTTGAAATAGAAACCAACGCTGATAATTTAGTCAAATCCACACGTACACACATACACGCAAATACACACACACTCTCTCTCTCTTTCTCTCCTAACTTCCATTACATAAAAACCGAAGAGAACCTTGACTTACCTGGTATTAAGCCCTTCTTTTTGTATAGTTGATAGTCAGATTACTGCAAAATAATTTCCCTTTTTCCAGAAAATTCGACTTGTGATCAAAGATGGTTTAATACCGCTGACTGTCTTGATACGATTTATATGGCTTGAACTGTGCCAAAACGAAAGCCTGTGAATGTATACTGGTTGCCATGGAGCGATTCCATTAATGAACCGGACAATTTTTTTCGTCGTATTGTGAGGACTATTATGACGAACGTGAACTTCGATTTGGTGTGTATACGGTCGATTTATACATACTCGGAGTCGGAGCTATTGTGAACATTTCAAATTGGCCTTCCCTCATACTTTCCCGCAATATCTTGTTTGCCCTCACGACAAAGTACCGAAGCTGTGACGTCATAAAAATCTATTTTTAGAATTTCTCAATTTTTGTCTTCATTTTCCGAACGAACATCAAAAATAATGTCCAAATGTCGAAAACCAATTGAATATGTTAAATATTGGCTGAGATATGACCATCTGAATAAAGATACTCCCCATAGGAACTCAGTGTTATATGCTCTGGCTCCTAATGGTTAGTAGCCAGAGCATATAACACTGAGTTCCCATAGGACATATATTCATTCGGATGGTCATAACTCAGCCAATATTTAACATATTCAATTGGTTTTCTACATTTGGACATTATTTTTGGTGTTCTTTCGGTATATGAAGAAAAAATTGAGAAATTCTAAAAATAGATTTTAGATGACGTCACACTTCACCACTCTTATAGAGTAGCGTTTCACGAAACTGACGTAATTACACATTCACCGACATCCCATCGAAACTCGTGTGTTGTAATTAACACACGTTTCAATGGCCCAGGTCGGAATTCCAGTTGAAACCATGCAGTAGGCAACTAGTACCAGTTAAAACCAGTAAGTCAACTGGTACCAGTTGAAACCAGTAGATTCAACTGGTTTTTAATATGGAAATTGAAACAACGCTAACTGAGACCAGTTGATTTACCAGTTCAATTACCAGTTGATTTACCAGTGGAATTTCCAGTTGAATTACCAGTTGATTTACCAGTTGAATTACCAGTTGATTTACCAGTTGATTTACCAGTTAAATTTCAAGTTGAACTACCAGTTGATTTTTCAGATGATTATTCAGTAATCAATCAACTGTTAATCAATAATCATTATTAGCATCTGGACACCAACTTGACCACATTATACTAACTCTTGCAATTACCCCATCACAATGATCATTTGAAGTAGATAAAAGATGAGTATTGTGTGATTTGCCATATAATGTTCGTGCATACATATATACAAATTTATACACTTTATTTCTGGTTAGTAATTACATATATATCAATATATCTCATTTTACGTCTTAAATCAGATGAAAAACATGATCAGACATGTGTAATATATTTGTCAATAATTATCTAAGGAAATGTAAATCACAAAATGTATGTGCATTGTCACATTTGCTTGAAAGATCATGATAATTATATTTTCTGTGAAAACATGCAAATCATGAATATTCATAAGATACATTGAACTGGTTTTTCAACTGGTAAATCAACTGGTATTCGTACTGGTTTTCAACTGGTAAATCAACTGGTAATTATCTACTGGTTTTCAACTGGTAAATCAACTGGTAATCTTACTGGTTTTCAACTGGTAAATCAACTGGTACTCATCTACTGGTTTTCAACAGGTAATCATCTACTGGTTTTCAACTGGTACTCATCTACTGGTTTTCAACTGGTAATCATCTACTGGTTTTCAACTGGAATCAACTGGTAATCATCTACTGGTTTTCAACTGGTAAATCAACTGGTAATCATCTACTGGTTTTCAACTGGTAAATCAACTGGTAATCATACTGGTTTTCAACTGGTAAATCAACTGGCAATCATCTACTGGTTTCAACTGGTAAATCAACTGGTAATATCAACTGGTCTCAGATGTCAACTGGTATTTCTACTGGTTTCCAAATTGTATCAACTGGTATCAACTGGTACCAGTTAAGACCAGTTGAGACCAGTTGAGACCAGTTCAAACCAGTAGATACCAGTTGGAAATCCTTACTGGTTTCAACTGGTATCAACTGGAATTTCGACCTGGGGGGATATCGATGAACTTGTACTTATTTCGGTTTCGTGAAACAATGCCCTGACCATAATGAAAATGAAACAAGGTCAGACGTTACAATAAAGTACTATAAATATTTCAGATTAAGGTCCCTTATGGTCATATGAACTGTAATATAAGAATGGCAAGGTGTATGAGTCTTCTAGTCGGAGAAGAGCCCCAGCCGAGTGCGAGTCTTGGTGACGCCCATAATTCTAGAGTTCTGACTCAAAATGTAATATGATATTATGCCCTTTCATGCATATCTTAATTCTAATGCGCAATTCTTCTTCCTCATCCTCTTCTGAACCCCACATGCAGCTCATCCTTGTGTATTATTTTCTGTACCCCCGATGTATACTAGCTTGCTCTCCTCGTTGACTGATCATTTTGAGCAATAATAGTTAGCCTCCAACGATCGGATAGCATTATATCAAATACATGACATTAAAAGTATTTATGCACTGAAAATTGTCAGCAACAATAACAACAAAAATCAATCAAAAACACAACGACATCAAACAAAATGTTTCAAAGTGTTTCAGAATTAATTGCTTTTATTTTTGTCGTCACAATAATTTGCCTATTACTTGGCCCTGGATTATTTTGTTCGGACTTTAAATATTGTGAATAGTGCGGGTTCTGTTTTGTTCACGATTGTATTTCCACGATGTTTTGAATCAATGTGTTCATGGTCTCAGTTATATACATAACTGTTAGCAAGTTGTCTTCCCATTTATTTTTTAATGGAAGCCAGTCTGTTTTGATCGTAATCTTTTATTTTACAAAATCTTCCATATTGTAACAAGCCAATATTTTTGAGCTATTCATGATTTCCCTGAGGCTGTTCACACCGGCAGAGATAGCGCGCGCTAGACCGCGCTATCTCCGCGGTTTGGAAGGTACAACGTCGTTTCGGTCCGCCCAACAGCGAGTCACGGCGAGCCAACACTGGAGCACCTCTTGGGGGTGGTCCACGAGAGATAGCGCGGGCTAGCGCGCGCTAGAAAAAAGGGGGTGCTACGATAGACCGCGCTATCTCATTGCGGTGTGAACAGCCTCCCTGAGTACTCCAGACTGAAGAGGCTTTGTGTTTTATTTCTATCACTTGAAACGATTTCCTGATTTCCTATACATTTTGCATCATGTTGCAAGATTGGTTGATTTTGATGCAAATTTCGATTCCATCACTTTAACTTTGTTTCCTTCAGGATTTGTTCCCTCATGTATCTATGATTTTTTAGTTAAACGTCATACAGACGAGGTTACGTATCGTGTCCTCTCTAGTTTAGGCTTCATTTCTAAAACCGCGCCCATTCTTGTATCATCGGCAGGGGCGGATCTAGCTTTTTGCTAAGGGGGGGGTTTGACCAAAATAATGACGATGCGGAGCATCGTCCACGAGCCGCGAAGCGGCGAGCCGATTTTTTTTGGGGTGTTTATTTGAACCCCGTAAGGGATGTTTTCCTGGCATCTATTAACACAATGGAGACCATAAAAAGCAGTGCATGATAACGTCTTTTTAAATCAAGTAACAGTTTAATACACAGTTATATCCAGAGTTATCATGTGTTTGGTTAAGTTACCAGATGAGTTGAATATCTTCTCACAATATTTGCACTTGAAAGGGTTTCTCTCCAGCGTGCGTTCTTTTTTCTTTCTTTTTTTCTTTCTTTTTTTCTTTTTTTTTCCTTTTTTTTTTTTTTTTTTTTTGGGGGGGGCCGCCCAAGGGGGGGTTTAAACCCCCTAAACCCCCCCGTAGATCCGCGCCTGATCGGCTATGTATACTAGTTTTCTGTTGACCATAATTTCTGGACAAGTTTTCACTGCATTTGCTAAATATTTATCTATCATGACACAATATCAAGTGTTGGTTGTGATCATGATATAGTTGATGAAAGGCACGCCGGTATTGTGCAGCTCACGAGTTGTTGTTGTTGTTGTTGTTGTATAATTCGTCGCTGTTTTCACGAAGTGACGGTAGTGAAAAAAATTGCATTCACTTTGCGTTACAATTTCCTCACTACCGTCACTTCGTGAAAATAGGGACGAATTGTTTAATGGCGTTCAGTCAGTATTGAATATATACGCAATATATAAATATCTTCAATTGTATAAGAAAATCAGTTATACATAAGAAAACTGAGAATAAAGATTTGTAATGATATAATTAATTATATTGTAGTATATCTACAATACTCACGAGTATTGTAGGCCTTGTTCATGTTGCCTTAGTTTTCTGTAAAACAATCAAGAAAGAAGAAAAATGGTTAATTAACATTATACACGTAGTTAAAACTTTCGCTTTTATTTTAATCATGGTTAAATGAGGTATTAATGTTACTCTGTCAAATGATCTTAATGTTTAGGTGAAATGATAGACGTGTCAGAATAGATTAGCCCGCCTAATCTCATCTTCTTAAAATAATTATATTAATATATTAATTTTAAACAATTTTTTTATAATTTTAAACCCGATAAAAAATTGTGCTATCAAAATAAAGGCTGCACCTCCTTTAGGCTGCACCTCCTACAAGTTGCAGAAATTTTCATGGAAAGGCGATATTCTTGAGGTAGATATTACAAGCCATGAGGAAATGGTCGGAGGTATGCCGATGAAAAATTGTGCTATCAACAGGGTTTTATGGTTTTATGAGGGTTAACACTGTTTGCAACATAAATTTTGTTTTCTTTGCACTGGCGACGGGAATACCAATATTGGAAGGGGTGCAAATTGCTGCCAAATAAAGGACTGGACATCCTTTACAGGTTGCCAAAATTTTCAAGGAAAGGCGATACGTTTTGGGGTAAATATTACCTGCCATGAGGAAAGGGTGTATGCCGATGAATAATGTATCATGGTATGAAATCATGCCACTTACGGCTTCGAACTTGATCGTTCAATGCAATGTGCTTTGATCTGCCATGGCTGTCGACAATTTGTCCGTTGGCGACAATTATTTATGCCGTCAGGTTTTGTAAAAATCGGCACAAATTGTCACCGTCGACAATATTTTGTGCCGCAACACACGTCGAGTTCTTCATGCGCATTTAATTAGCTTACATCTCCTATTCCTTATGTCTCGTCAAAATTGCAATACGAGGTATAAAAAATATGTCAAGGGTATACCTTAAAGTGTTTCCCAAAAAT